TACGCATACATTTTCAAAGTTTGACTTTATTCCCAAAATTTATCATGAAACCTTTCTAATCATGGATAACACTTGTATATCTCAATTCAAGAATGAACTATAGTTGCAAAGAAAAAAAACAACAACTTTAAATTTCATAATTTGAAAAATGTCTATTTGGAATATCTTCTGGCTATTTTAGATATGTCTTACATTAAAGAAGTGTGGGCATCTGCTTTAGAGAATCAGTAATGCATGACTAGAAAGAGAGATGAATTTAAATACACTTTTAACTTTATACTCATACTCATTGAGTAAGAAGAAGAAAATAAATGAACAAAACTTAAAGAATTAAATGGACATGTGTTTGATCACTTGAACATATACAGGTATCTAATAAACAATGTTGGATCAATATCGAAGATTATTTTCTTTTGACTTTTTTTTTTGTTTTATATCTAATGTGTCAGCATCTGCTACATACTTTCTCGTTCTTATATTGACACAAGGTAAATTATTATTACAGAAATCCTTAAGGCCACCTAAAAATGATTTTTTAAATTGTTTGTAAAGAACATTTATAGATGAGCAGATTTGAAGAGAAGAGAAGAGAATATAATAAAGCATATATAGAGAATAAATTAGTAATTTTGTTATGCATGAATTATAACGGGAGGAGGGATGAATAAAGAAGATAGATTTAAGTAACACATTGTCTTTATTTAACAATTTAAAAGAATTTACAATATAAAGGTGAGGTTGAAACAGGTGAGGAAGAATTTAATTCAAATCAAATATCGATTATAAATTTCCGGATTATGCCAATCAAGGATGGATATATATATATATATTTTGACTAATTATTTGACAACCATTTTAACAATAGAAAACAACATGATACGATGTGCAACAGACGGAATAACCACAGTCATCATCACTAAAAAATAAAATTATCATTTCTAATTTTAAATAAGATAAACTTTGAATTAAAATTCGCATGATAATATCTTTTTCTTCTCCTTCTATAATATTTATTTTACTCGAATGAAATACTGAAAGATTTTTTAATAAAAAAATGAATAACGAAGGTTTTTTTTATTAAAGATCTACAAGAATCAGATAAAAAAATTTCTATTGTATTTTAAATATATCTCAGTTCTATTTTTTTTTTGTTGCCTCTGGTCAGTGATTATAATAAGACAATATGTATATTCATACCATTTAACCATTACTTCTATTAGAAAACGATTTTCTCTCCTTTTTCTTTTTTTACGTTAGTTTCTAGTAGAATGTTTTCCTGTCATTGTGGTAAGAAGAAAACACAGAGAAAAATGAACACTTTGGTTATATAGCCCTAAAGGTAAATTTAAATGTTAAACGATGGGCGTAAAAAAAATATACATGACCGGATCTGTTCTCTAAAATACATAACTATGAAAAGCATAAAAAAATAATGATCTTATTTTCTATTCAATAGAGAAAAAGGCAGATGTAGCGAGTTGATTCATAATTCAATTAAACAATAACCACCATCATTACATGTCTTTCTGTTCTATTTCTTAAAGATAGGGAGATTATAACATCCGTCACTTCAATATTATTCAATAAGTAACATTGATGATTTTTTGATTGGATGGTGCTTACAAGCCATATTTCAAGGTGGTAAATTGTACTTCCTCAAATATATTCCATATGCTATAGAGTTTTACATATTTGAATAGAAAGATAAAATCAATGTACTTGACACATTTTAAACTTCTTCTCATCTATGTGATGATGTTCAAAAATACATAACATGTCAATGTAATTTGTTCACTAATCTTTCAAATTTAAGTGAGAGAGTAGTTTAAAGGAAAAGAATGTGTTGAGGATCTTTAAAATGTTTCGTTTTAAAAACGTATTATATCTATACGTTACGTCTTTCTTTTTTACCGACAAAGACAGAGAGAAAAGAGAATAAAAGGTTCTGTTTATGTCCTTTTGACGTTATTTTTTATGTATCTTTGTCACGTTCGGTATTAAAAAAAAAGAAGTTAATGATGGACGACGAATTTTTAGAATATTTCATTCCCGAACGCATACACACACACACACATACACTGGAGTATTTTCACGTACGACTGATAACAAAATTTTCACGACAAGAAGAAAAAAAAAATCATGATGAGGATGATGACACTATTTCTACCGAGCGTATCGATTCTCGTATATTTGACATTTAATTTCGATTGTCTTCAAAAGAAACAAAAAGTAACTCGAGAAAAGAAACGGTATAATAAATGGTTCATTTAAAAACATAAATACATTGCACAACGGCTACCTGAAAATTTATTTCTGAAACATGTCAGGATTAATAATCAAAAAAATTTTTATACAGAATATTCTTCTAGTTTGAAATATGATCTCTATTTGATTGTTATATAAAAGTTTTGTCTCTATTTAAAATATGGCGTCATTCGACTAAATAACGAAAAGCCTAAAGATCTATATTGACACAGTTGGGTGTTTACTCGATGTATATATCAAAGATAATGGCACGCTTCTCTCTTTTCTATGTGTCTATTGACACATTCATTATATATCAACGTCTTGTTTTCATTAAAACTTATTTCTTTCCAAGTAAATATCTACCTATCTAAGAAAAAAAATTATTTGGGATAGTGAATAAATGTGCTTTAGAAACGTGTGTGTTATCTTTTTGACTTTTTTTAAATTTAAGACCAGAGGCATAATGAGCTCATTAATGACTAACATGATTTTTTTTTATACCTTTAGTTTTATCGATATTGTGTCTGAAGAGAGATACACACGAGCAGATGTGTCGGCAATCTTATAAAATTATATACGTGAAAAAATAAATCAATGTGTGATTGTTGTCAAAAAGTTGACAATCGATCATGACCAACAAACGGTTGTTTGTTCTATTATCTTAGAAAGCGATTAATGAACTGTTGAATTATTGCAGGATTGTATCTGATGGAATCCTACTATTATAACGTATCGCTACTAAATATCATCGTTCGGTCAAATTTTAGTGGAAACTAGTTCCTCTTCTAATCCTAATTCATGGATAGTTTCTTTATATCGTAAAGTTTTCTACCAACTGTGGCACTAAAGACATACAGTGATTCATTGTCTTATCTCTTAAGTCTTAGACTAATTAAAGTGAACTTTTTACTAAAGAAGTTAATCTAGCTTTTCAACACTTTCTTTTAAATTCTACCTGTTGATTGTTTTCTCTATTTAACAGAGTCTAGTTTTCTATGCATTTTATCTATAGATGTTCCATTTTCTACTACGAGTTTTACTTTCTCACGTTAGAAGAAGAAAGAGAACAATGAGGAATCCTAATTTTAAAAAAAAAAATCTCAGAAAGACGGAATTGTTTCATTTTCATAAGCGAATTCTTTTTTGAAAAGCGCTGTTCAATCCAAAAGCGAATTTTAAGTTTTTTCTGTGAATAATCAACTTGAAATATTCTCTCTGAGAATCTGTATTACTTTAGATCGAAAGAGTATTCGTCTACGTTTGAATTCTTGTTTTTAGGACACATTCTATGTGGTTCAATCTACTATGATAATTTTTTTTCTTGGTGTTCTTTTTGCTAACTCACTATATACAACTCTTAAATGATACTACCATTTTTAACTGCAGTTTTTATTGTCATCTATTCATATGATAATTTTCTATGCTCAAAGTCTGATGTTCTTCGAGTGCACCGCGTGAAAAGAGCTTTCTCATTAAATTTCCTATGTTAATCTCTTGTATGACAAAGGATTTTCTAAAAATTGGACGATACGAGAATTCCCACGGACCAAAACGTCAAAAAGACCTCATCCCGCCTACGTTTAACATATATCTTTGTGAATGCGTGTGAAAAGAATCTTAATGGTGGAATATATATCTTTCGAGGCAAAAGAATTATTTCGCATACACAATTTTTTTTGTGTTCTTCAAAAAAAATTTTCTTTCAAATAAGAAAAGAAAAAAGAAAAGAAATAAAAAAAAGAACAAATGGGAGACGAGACGAAAAATTGCTGCTTCTAACTATATTGCTTGACTGGCTGATTTTAAGTTTTCTTTTTTTGACAATTTCTTCGTCTTCTTCTTTTCACGATTACCAGTCAAAAGAAAAGGGATTTTCTTCTTTTTTTTTTTCTTCTGAGAAATAGCACATAATAAAAGCAACGAATTAGAAATCATCTTTTAGACGACGACGAGCAAAGAATAAATTGCTGTTAAATGGTGAGTGGCTATGTCTAATACAATAAGAAGAAGAAGAAGAAAAAAAAAAGAAGCAGGTACATCCATACCAATATGATTTTTTTAAAGAAATAGATATTCTCTCTTTTCTGTTTCTTTCTTTTTGCAAGAAACCCACTTTTCAAAATTTCAACGGATAAAAGTTATTCACATACTTACGACACATTTTACCAAGTCATATTTTTTTTTATAGATAATGTGCAATTGTCGTGAAGAATAATGGTACGTTGATTTAAAATACTTATGAGTTTTATTGAATAGAATATTACTATTAGATTTTACAATCCCAAAAAATGAGATGACGTTTATTTGCGTAAAAACTAAGAAAAAAGAAATAATTTTTACTAAAATACTTTTAGTTCATTAACTAAACAAGATAATAAGTATAGGTAGGTGTAAGCTGTAATTATACTCTAATTTTGAATAATACCGATGGTACGTACACTGCACCATTATATTATAGTTATTTTTATTAATGTTTTAGAAGTAAATATGTCGTTTTTATTAAACGATCAACATCTATTCATCCTACACAATATTTAAATAATATTTCATTCTTATGTAAAGTTTATTAAGATAAGAACAAAAACTAAGATTTATTTATCCTATTATTTTATATATACACACATATAAAATAATTTTGATCCAATGAAATAAAACGTCATTTGACAAGTGGAATTTTTTTATCAATTCGTGTATTTGTCAAGGACTATAAATTAGTCAGACTTAAGAAATACGTAAGCATTTTTGTCTATAATATGTATCATTCACCGGCAAATGAAAACTATTTGCAAGAAAAATCAACAACAACGAGAAATAATAATAACAATAATAATAATAACGATCACCAATCTTATATCAAAATGAGCGCACATCAAAATCAGAATATTGATCAACTCCTTCGACCATATGGGAATTACTTATTATTTAATCCGTACTTAAATTCTCAAACATCTATCTCAACTGCTGCTCCTTCTCAAGTTTCGGCATCTCCAGTGTCAATTGCAACTGCCGCTGCTCTCAATACCGTCTTTAATCCTCGATATCATCAACATCTTAATCATTTGAATGAAACAGCGTTTACTCATACAAAAATGTTACAAGAAATTATTGAGAAACGTAAAGATTCATCATCTTCACGTTCATCATCACCTACAGAACAACAGCCAAATGGAAAACAGCAACAATATGGTAAAAAACAACTAACCGACATATCACAATCAAATTTTGATAAGAACAATAATTGTACAACAAAAAAATCAAAAGAATATTTATCACCACCAGAAGATGATGTGAAATCAGACGAAACAATGGTAAAATATTATTGTCAAAACCGAATGCCACGTCACAATAGTGATTGTGATCATACATCATCTCACAGCTCACAGCAATCATCTCCATCAACATCAATCACAGCACACAAACGATCGTATGATACGGAAGAAAGCGATTGCAATTCACCAAAACGTCGTCGAAAACAACCAAAACCACAACATGTCGCAGCGGACGATGAAAACATCAGCATAACGCAAAAAAACACTAGTAGATCAAATGAAAGTTCGACTATTGACGAGCAACTAAGTAATGGTGGGGCTTGTCATGAATCTACTGTCGATGGTGAAGAATTAGAAGATCAAAGTAGTGAGAATGAACACAATAATCATCTTAAGAATATCAGTACTGAAATAGTTCAAGAACCTAACAAACAGCAAGAACAACAATCGGAAAGAAATGAGATAATGAAAGTGAGTAAAGATTAGAATGTTTGTTTTGCGAGAGCAATGAAAAGGTCTTGGTTTTGCAGAAGTAGTAAGGACTGTAATAGTCATACCTAAAATTACTAGAATTCTGTATATGACATCTTTCTTTAGAGTATTCCACCTTTACTACCATCAGCAGCATCAGCTCCATTTTTGGCCTATATACACGATTTAGCACGAGCAAACAATGTTACTTCACCGTTGCATGTGACAAGATTTCTTGAAAATTTACAGAAAGAATTATTTAGTGCTGTTAACAATGCTATTGGACATACATTTCAAAAAGTTTTTGAATCAACATCACAAAATCTCTCTCAAAATGATCTCAATAAATCGAGTGTTTCAGCACCTCTTTCGCAACCACAACAACCATTAACAAATGAACAACGTAGAATATCATCTGAGTCGAAACCCGTTAACCACTCAACACCTGCGCCATCAACTCATCGTTTAATCTCATCGATGCCTCGACAAAATGAGAATGAAAAACGATCATTGCAAAAACAGCAGCATTCGAATACTTCAACTCCTATGTTACCATCATTTCGTTTACCCGATCGTCCGGCTGTGCTTCGGCCACCATTATCTCAAGTATTTTCTCAACCATTTGGTCATCAAGCAGCGGCAGCCGCTCTTCATCATCATCCCTATTTTTCTCAAATGTTATTTACCAATTCATTGATTAACCATTTTCCACAAATACCTCCAATGTTGCGTTTTCTTGGAAATGGTACACAAGCGCAAGTAGCAGGAGTAACAGCAGCTAATCCATCAATTGGTCTACATCATCCGTCGGATGAACACACCATTGATCATTTTGATTTTAATTTATCAACACCGAAAAAACGTCGCACAAAAGTTAGTCATTTCTTTAATTCTATTTTTATATATTATTTTTTATTTTCATTTTAATAGGTAACAGATACACGTTTATCACCTCGTGTAACAAAAGTTTTATCATCTTCACAAGACCAAATAAAAAGTGAAGAGCATCAAAAGTCACCAGAATCATCAACATCGACAAACAATATGTTAACTAATTCGTCGAGTCTTTATTTTGAAAATGGCCTCGAATCAACCGACGTTTATTCACCAAGAGATGAACAAACATCATCCAATCTATCAAGTGATCCACCAGGTGATAATGATCCAAATAGTGATGAAGCTTTATTGGAATACAATGGTTTTCAAATATCCTTTTTTTTCTAATTATTTCAGAGTCTATGATTATTTCAAGAATGGTAAGGTAACTTTTGTTGTAATACACAAGTAGGAAAGATTCCTCAATCATTTTTATCTGTTGAAAATCTTTCGCTTTATCGTTGAGAACGTTCATTTAGTCCAACCACATTAGCAGAGAGATATTTTTATTCATGCGAGTTATTAAAAAACAAATGAAAATTTCGGTATTGTAAATAATAATGAGTTTAAGAAGACAGAGAGAGGATCAGAGTCACGGAATATATTTTCTATTCGTTTGTTCTCTTTTTTTTGTCTGCTTATCGAATTTCGTCATTAGCAAGTGTATACGAAAGTAAAAGAACTTTTAGAATAACTAAATGAATCGTCTAAACATTAGAAGAAAAGAGAGAGGAAAGTGTATAGTTTAGTAACTATCACACATACAATATGCTCAATTTATTTAATCGTCTGGAATCGATATGAATAAAAACCGATAAATGTCAAGTTTCATTTCAAAATGTGTGTATGTGTAACACTTACCTACGCAGTTAAGAGAAGAAGTAAAAAAAAAAGGAAGAAGATTAACTTACAGACAGACCAGAAAAAATGTGTCAAGTTCTGTTTCGTACTCTTATATATTATGTGTCTGGAAATAAGAGTCAGAAAAACATCCCCACCCTACCTCAATTGTTGTTAGCTAAAAAAAATGATAGGAAATCACTTTCACTATCAAATATGTAAATTCTACAGTTGATAAAAAAAAAAAGGAAAAAAAAGAAAAAAGCATTCTCTCACTCTCGTTCATAGTAGATCTGTTAACTTTTTCTGATTCGTTCTATGATGTATGTCACACTCGCACTCTCGAATAAATTTAATAAAGTTTAGTTCCATTAATGTTATTATTATGATAGGCAAAAACATTCCAATTAACTAATTCTATGATATGTGTGATTAAAACGATTCTTTCTTTTTATTCTGTCCTCTTCTTTCTCAACACGATTAAAAATACCAAACATTATTTGATAAGTTAGAAAGAAGAAGAAGCAGAAGTGTAGAAAGTTAACTTTTATTTTGAGCAAGAAATAGAGAAAAAGGAAAATTACATTCTTTGTTGTGAGATTGATATTGTTGTTGTTAAGAGCTGAGATTAGCGTCGATTCCAGAGATGAAAGGGAGACACGAATCCCATTGGATAAGTCTGCTAGAGACGAAGAAAGAAGTACATGATAAAGCAAAAGATTTCTAGAAAATCTCGATTTTTTTAGAAAACTACTGATGCATTTTCAACATTCAAACTAAAATATAATAAAAATAAACATGTCACTTTTAGACGGAGGTTTTCTGTGAACAATTTAAAAATTACAGAAAAGTTTAGCGGATACATATTTTCTTCCATCATTAAAGAGAATTATGATTTAACATTTAATTTTGAATTTAAGTTACATATTTTCATTTCTCTTTCATTTGTTTACACTTTTCATTTATTATTATATTGTCACAGATATGAGTCTAAGAATAATTTCAATTTGAAGTTTATAACATCAGTCTGAATGTAACTAACTGACCAAATTGTTTCTCGAAATTATTTTGTTAAATTTGTTTTCCTCTGTATGTATTAATCATAAATGTTTAACAAAAGATAATAGTGCTATTGTGACAATGAACATACTGTTTATGTTTACAGATGAAATCAGTTTGTTTCCACCCTCGTATAGACCATCTGTTGAAAAGATACAAATTTAGTCCATAATATCTTTGTTATACTTCACTTTGAAGTGATTCTTACGATCGAAATTTTGGGATAACTGTTGCGTGAAAAATAGACCTATGATATTTTGCGTATGTGTTGTTGTTTTTTTGTGTTGAAAATAATAATTTATTCAAGTGTAAATTAAATTTCTTGTTGACAAATGCTATACGTTCATGTATGCCTATATTCAAAGTGTCTCCTTACATATTTTTTTAATATTAACCTTCTCTAATCTTTAATTCTTCAATTGTACCATCTGCTTCTCTATTATTTTTATATTGAACACCTCCTTTTTCTTCTTTAAAATGAACTTTATCCAAAAGTTCATTACTTTTTATTTTTCATTACAGTACAATTTTGTCTTTCTTTTCCTTTTATTCTCTATCTATAGTCGGTTTAAATTTTCATTTGTTACTTTCACCACGTTGGCTAAAAAGTCGATGAGAAAGAGAGAAGAAGAATTTTTTCTTGTCACGTTTTGAACTAATGTTCTACTCTATCTAGTGCAATCGAACTCTTATTAACAATATCGATCGAACTCATCAAAGAAAATAAAGCTTGAAATATATTCAAATTGTTGTTTTTATAATGACTTTTTACCGTCATTAATGGACGATAAATGTGTTAGAAGCACGTTCTATATGCTAATTTTGACACATGCGTATAAAAAAAAAAAGAATGTATCATAGATCTAATAGACATTATTTTCTTCTTGATAAAAACGTTCTTTTTGCTAAACTTTTAAAGCTTGAACACTATCTTCGAGATCATACTTTTAATATTTGAAGTGAAAAAATATCGTTGAATTTAAGAGAATCGTATCATTCAAATTAATAAACAGAAAGAGAGAACATAATTAATGTAAAAGTTGATAAATCTCTAAATATTTTTTTGTGTCATTTTAACCAGTTTGTTTTATTGTATTAAGATAATTTTCTACTAGAGATGTGACTATTTACACATCAAAATATGTTTGATACTTGAGAATTAAGCAGAAATAAACAGAAAAGATGATCTTTGATTATGAATGGAGTTTGATAAACTTTACATAGTTTAACATAAAATAGGGTGTGTTATAAAGTAATAATTGATCGATAGACAAATAAGAAAATAAAGATAAAATGATATGATTGAAATAAAAGTGTTGTTATATCTTTTAATCTGTATGTAGTTGATATTGTCAAGAATTTTATCTTTTAAAATAGAATGTTATTTCGAATAATGATCAAATTATTAAAAATTGATCAAAAAAAGTTAATGAAAAATTATTTGAATTGTAAAATGAAGAAGTTTTTCAAACTAAAATATATTTTTCTTAACCTATTTGTATTTGTTATTTAAACGTATCAGTATTAACATCATTACATTTGAGAAAAGCAAAATTAATGTTTTTTTATACAAGATATCCCAGTTCATCAATATTAAAAGTTTATTTTCCGGATGTAAGATTTAACAAATTAATAACAGCACAATTAGTCAAATGGTTCAGTAATTTTCGGTAAGTTTTTTAAAACTTGGATAAAAACATAATGAATATTGTATATATTCTAGAATATAGAGAGATGTGTTAAAAAAATGTGCTTCAACGCTTCTTTTGTTCATACTCAACATGAGAAGAAGAAGAAAAAAAAAAGTAGAATATTTTATTCTCACTAGAATAAAGGCAAAATTTATTCAAACGAAAAAACTCTACGTTTACCGATATCTTAGTTCATTTTCTTTGTTTTTTTTTGCTAACTAAGCATGTGTAATTTTTTAGTCTAATTGAATATTATGAGATCTATTCTATTTTTAGTGAATTTTTTTATATTCAAATTGAAAAATATGCTCGACAATATTTAGCTGAAGGTGTACAAAATATTGATGATTTAGTGGTGACAACTGATTCAGATTTATATCGTGTATTAAATGTACATTATAATAGAAATAATCAACTTGATGTAAGTAAAAATAGAATAAAATAAAAATAAAAATAAAATAATATCAAATTTTATTTTTAGGTACCTAATAGTTTTTGTGATGTTGTTGAAGCAACATTAAAAGAATTTTATCATGCCATTCAACAACAAAAAGATGTTGAACCATCATGGAAAAAAACTATATATAAAATAATTGCTCGAATGGATGATCAAATACCAGATTATTTTAAAGATGAACATTGGATTAGAACAATTTAAGAAAAAAAAATTTTTTTTTTTTTTTTTCTTTGTTTTTTTTAGATATCCTCAAATATAATTCATTTATTTGTACATGTATAGTTATTAAAAAAAAAAAAACAATCGAATCAAATTGACATACCGACATAGAATACTGAACAGTAATGTGTTATACAAAAAATGATTAAAAATGAATGGTATTTTGATTACAGATTGTTGGAAATTAGCCATTTTCATTCGATTTCATTTTTTTTTTTTGTTTTTCGTTAAAACAAAAGAAAATAGCATGCGTTTTGTTAGCGTTTCAATAATAACACATGACAAAAAGAAAAATTATATATATATATATATTAAGGTATTTTCATTTTTAATCGTGTTCTCTTTTTTTTCTTTTTCTGTTGTTGGAAAAAATCTTGGTGTTTTTTTCTTGATATAAACATATTACATAGAGAGTCAGTAGAATATTCTACATTTGTATTATTACCAATCGGATATAGATGGCAAATTTCATCAGGTTTTCTCATACAGGAGAAAATAATTCAAAAAAATAAAAATTTGTTTTTCCTACTGTTTCATTTTATATTTTCCATGTCCTATTCGACAATATAACATATTTCTCTCATTTATTTCGCAAGTTACTCCTATCTGAATATAAATGTCTCTGTCGTATGAATGTATTTAATATTAAATGTTCTATACTCATCAAATAAATATTAAAAGAATATAGAAAAATAAAAACAAGCAATAAAAAACGATAGAGTTCAGTTTTAAAAACATCAAAACAATTAAACTAATATATTAGTATTACTAGGCCATATATATCATCGTTCTTGGATAATGAGATCAATCTAGAACGGATGGACAATCAAGTAAGAGTCTATAGTGATGGTCATAGTGCTGCGCAAAAACGGTATGTTCAACATTTTTTTCGTGTGTGTGTGTGTGTGTGTTTTTTTGTTTTGTTTTTGAAATCAAATACGAATCGTTTTTTTTTTTTTATTTAACAATCATGAACTATTTCATGATTAAAAATATTTCACTAAACACGTTCGATTGTAAATAGATCCATTCATATTATCTTTCAGATATAGAGACTAATTGTTAAACAATGTACATGACCACATTTCATAGACAAGACAATTGTTAGTTTAGTGTCATTGTATGACGAAACACGTGCAAATAAAAATAAAATAATAGTCTCAAGAACCAGTTTTCTCTTGAAAACAATAATGACTACTTACTCAAAAATATTTATTCATTTAACGATTACTAAATGTTGTTGCCGGCAGCCTTTTAGACGCCTTAAATCAATGTAATCTACTGTTTTCTCTGATTTTTGTTTTTTTATACAAAATATAATAGAAAAACAGTTTACTTACTTATTTTATTCATTCTAATTTAGCATGATTGACTATATTTTATGTCATAATCTATTGAACAAACAATTTTTTTCAAATTGAACATTTTTATTTAGAACAAAAATTCATTTTGACTCTATTTTGAATTTTAATATGAATCTCAAACAAACAGTAGTAGTAGGTTTGATGTGTTCAATTTCAATGTAATATAAAATTGTTTCTGTATTCTTCTTATATTTATTTACTTGAAAATTATGAAATTCAAGTAAAGATAAAATGGCGGCATTTGCTATCCACTTTTCTCTTGTCATTAACGGAACCAACGGAAGTAGAATGATTATAAGTTTATTTGTTACCAATATCAATATTCAGAGAAGATCAGTTTTCGTTCTAGTTAATGAGAAACACCGATATGTCAACTAAACAACTTTGAAATTACCGAGACGTATTTTAACAGCTATAGTACATGTTTTTTTAAACAATTCTAAAATAAATTGGTGAAGAAAAATAAGATACGGAAAGAGATCGTATGAAAATGATGTTCATCGAAGAATTCAGTTTATAGTCAATGTAAGAATGGATCCAATCACATTTCACACCAATGTTGTTCTTTTTTTATCATAATATTGCTTGTCTTAAAAATGAATTTTGTGGAAAATTTCAAGATTTTCTTTGATGAAAAAGAAAAATGAAGTTTAAATTTTAATGCCCTTCGTCAACGTGAGCACTGATGCGCACATTTAACCAAAAAAATCAAAATTTACCTTTTTTAATTTTAAATAGTGGATGATAATCTTTAAATTGTCGATTATATTTTTCTAAAATAATTTTTACAATGAATCAATGACGGGATTTAGGATGATGGTAATCGCTAACACCGAAATTTTTTTATTTCATACTATTATATTCTCCTTGTACAATTTGCCGAGCATATAAAACTTTTCAGCGATTGTGTTTTTATTATAAAGATATTAAACTTGCTCTTTTGTACAAATCCGCCAGCACCGAAAATTTTCTTCTAGATCCGTCGCTGGCCTGAATTATATACGGGTTAAACTCAAATAGTAAAAATAACAATACAATCAGCATATTTGACAAAATTCAGATGTTTTCAGCATGGTAAATATTTGTATGAATTAAAAGCGACACTAAGCATATATTCTCATATAATCAAGAGTATTTCTAAAAAAATAATGTTGTGAATTGATTGAACGTAAGATATTAAAGAAAATTTCTTTTTTTCACACTAATGAAATTCTCCCAAAACACGTCTCTAGTGTAGCAGGCATCACTGATTTCTCACTCTTTCAGCAGAGCTCAAAACTTTTCATAAATCTTCTTCAGTATATGTTACACCTACATATCGATGCACATTTGTTCTTAGACTTTACAATGAATTTTCTAAAAAGTCCATTTATCTCTGATAAATGTTTTTAATCAGAACAAAGGGCGTATTCGGAATAAGTACTTTATATTGTATCGAATGATTTATAATGCAAAAACATTTAGTGAAGGTTTTCTCAACTATTTCTGACTGAAAATAATTTTTTTTTTAATTTTCTTGAGAGTCAAAGTGAACCAAAAATAATTGTTTTCAACAAGAAAAATGAAATATTCATTGGACCTGTCAAAATTGAGAGTCAGATTACCATAGCATAAAGTCGTCTTCAGCCTTATTACCGACGTACAAGTATCGTTGAAGACTGAAGTCTAGATGTAAGTGAACTCATGCCTATAAAAATATATGATGTGAGTCAGTGGCAAAAATACAATTTAACTATAATTTAATTGACTTAGTGTTGAATTTAAACTGATTTTCTGCCGCTGTAGAATCGTTTATGAAAAATAAAACTAGACTGAAAAGAAAAACCTCATGTAAGAATGAATATGGAACATTTTTCTACTTGTTTGGTAGTAAAAAGTTTACAAAAAGCAATGCTTACAGACTGTTCACTACAAAGGCTGAAATCGAATCGAACCGAATCCGAACCTGTTCGATTTCTTACACCTCTATTTGAATTGTGGAGAAGTATTGGTTGTTCTGAAATACGAATATTTTTCATTAATGGCTCTATTTTGTTTGTTTCAGTCTCTGTTTTATTCTGTTCGAGCATTCCTTTATGCATATGATAACCGTTGGACATACGTCAATAACACTGAGAAAATTTTAACGTCTCAAATCAATATATAATTCGAAACGATGTTGCACATGTAATTGGCCATCACCTATCTTCAACGATATTTGAGGAATATTTCCTAGAGAAAACTGAACGATCTGTCAGATACAAAAATATCCAAATATTTGTTTTATTAGTAAACCGATGCCGTAAAATTGTTCCAGTCTCCATTGTCCTATCCACATTCTTATCATTATATAGAGAAATAGTCAACTTTCAAACGAATAAATCAAGTAATTTTGTCTTATTTAGATATGCATTTTTCAGTCATAAACGAAAACATTATAATTATTAATCGTCGTCTAACATACGCCTTTGATCGAATAAATGTTAGCTACAGTTTATTAGCTGGAATAATGTCTAATTAATCTTGTATGCTGTTCTATTTGTTTCGATACAATTTAAGAAAGACGTTTCGTTATTTTGGACAATAAAATATGAGCACACATTACAAAATAAACCAGCAAATCGAGATTATGAAAGATAAAATTGTTAAAATAAGTTAGATACGTTAAATGTATCTGAGTAAAATAAAAAAATAATTAAGCATTCCATAAACACAACAATATCGATGTCAATAATGACTAATGGCCTGAAAATAACAGAAAAAAAAAAATATATATAAAAATAACTTAAAAGAAAAAAATAATAATATTTGAACTTGAGAAGACTCAGAACTTTGACGTACAAAAAAAAAAAAAAAAATTTACTAAGCAGCTAAAACGATAGTTAAAACAAGTGGCTCATAAATATTCAAAATATATAATTCGTTAAATCAATCATATTGGTGCTGTCAATGTGATGTTATTTCCAGAACCCTTTTTAAATTCAATTTGATCACCACCAGGTACGATATTAATAAGACGTTCATGTTTATCCAATTGAACGGACACATAACGTAGCACATTAATAACAAATGGACTAGACCTACAAAATGTAAAATGTATGCGAAATATAGAACTATCAAAATAATAAAGATAATAAGTCTCTATAAGATTATAATCGATACTAAGATCCTATCAAGATAATATCATACTACAATTTATGTATATACGATAAGAAAATATTTTTCTTACATTTTTCGTTTTAATTTAATAAAATTGGCAACAAATTCTCCAACTCTATCTTCTTTTGTATGCATATAAAATACGAGATCATGTAATGTTGATGAATGTACAACAATCAATTGTTCGGTACCAGTTGTTACACTCAATCCAGTAATTTGTTCTAATGGTATACCAGTTTTTCTGATATGAAAATGTTTTTTTGGATCTAATTTATAGATAAAACGATCAGTCATAACAATAGCACGTTCATCCATTTTCACACTGGTATTCATCTATGTAAATAACAACAATTGATTATTAAACAACTAAATCATGTATCAAATTACCTTTGTTGCAAGTGTAGAAAAAATAATTTGAGAAAATTTATCTTTTACACGTAGTTCATTCATTACTTTTTTATAATTATTTAAATTTTGTTGCATATTCATATGTTCTTCAGGCTACAAGACAAAACATTAATATATATTTTAGATATATAAAAATAAAACAAAAAAGATAGATGTTCATACTAGCGACAAGTAATCTCCTTTCCAAACTTGATGAAACGCATTTGCGATATACGATGTTCGATTTTGTAAATATTCAGCAGCTAATAATTTCAATTCAAATGTTGGCCGCAATTCACTTGGTATACGTGAAATTATTTTATAAGCTCGCCATCGTCGATGCATTTGTTTTAATTTATTATTTAACGGTACAAATCCCGGTTGTGGTGCAGGCCATTTGATATTTTTACCAAAATCATTTGAATTTGCAACATTTCTAAAATGTTTACTCATTCAAATCATGCTACTATTTGATTTCATTTACGTACCGAAATGCGTCATTTAATTTTTTAACGTATGTTCGAGTACGATATTTTCTATAGGCTCTTTGAACTCTTATTGCAGCCATTTCTCGAGCAAATAATTTTTGTTGATGCCAAGATCTCGTATACTGTTAAAAATTTTAAAGAAAAAAATTATCAAATCACGTTCAAGTATCTTAAAACGTAATGTTTACTTTTTGGATAATAGTTATGACAAAATTTAATCCTTCTGTTCGTTTACGTTCTAGTTGAAATAATGATACTCTAAAAATGGTAATCATATAGTAATAACAATAGTCTCTAGTTTACGAGGGAACCTTCCAAGATGGCCTCTTCCGATTCCAATGGGTTGTACATGGATAGATAGACCTCAGTGAGGTAGTAAATATCCTAAAAGGATTCGGACCCATGCATGACTCTTGAAGACCCTATTTTCCGGAAAACCAGTTTTTCAGAAAATAGGGTCTTCAAGAGTCATGCATGCATCCATCTATCAGAAGGGTGAATTCGATGGATTTTTTGTATGCAACTTATGAACAAAAGGAGTTAGCGTGTTGTAGTTTCCACTCTTCAAGAGACGTGAGTTTGAAACATCGTTTCCCAATACGAAAAGGTTTAAAAATCTTTTTACAAGAAAGATGTTTCTTCAGGAGAGATTTGAAAAAACAGTTGTGATGTTCAAAATTTGAAGTAACAATAC